CCAGCTGGTCAAAGGTAAGGATCTTCCCACCAGCCTTGAGGATGCGATTCTGGGCATTGCTAGTAATGCGAAGGGCACACACCTTCAGCTTGGGGACATCCTGGATCCTCACATCATCTGTCATGGTCCAAACAACCACAGCCTTCTTGTTCTCCCTGCCGGGCAGCTTCGTTTTCCTGATCATTTGAGACAGGGACAGAGGGGGCCAGTTGGAACAGCCTTTACAGGACAGCCTTGTTGAAAGTCGAGTTGATTCTATGGGCCAGGAACTGGTAGAGCTTTACCAGTGACCGCAAGTAGATGTCCTGGCTCTTGGGCTCATTGTGGCAGACTTTCCGATCCTTGTTATGGTGGATGTCAACTCCCATGCTGGTGCTCTACTGACCACTGGCCCAACCAGGAAAGACCGCAGTTGTAGTTCTTCAGAGGCATTTGTGTTCCATGCCTCCCTGTCACATAGTAAGGCCAGTAGAATGTTAACGTTGATGAATAGCCACGGATTGAAGTCACTCTGGCACTTTGCTCCTTTGCCTGTAAAGTAATGCGTGTTTGCCCAAGAAAGAGCCATACCCAACATGCTCTCACTTTTCCATTTAGCTGTCTTTCTTGTATGTGGTCTGAAGACACTGTTGCCTTGCTAGTTGGTTCATGTTGGTATGGATCAATACCAAACCCTACCATATGCCATTAAGGCCACCGCTATCTAGTGCTTAGGGTGTTCGACCTAAGCACTTTGGTCCTGTTGCCCTTTTAGGCCATTGTTTGTTTGCTTGCCCAATAGGACCAAGTAGGCTGCATGCATTCTAGTGTCCTGAGTTGTGAGTATTAAAGCTCTGCATCCTAGCTGTCTGATGGTCAGTGTGTTCTGATCTGAATTCCTCCTGAACAGTTGAAAAATTGAGTCTTTGTTTTCATAGGAGGCTTGGGGTCTGTACAGGACAATATTTTGAAAGCAATCCAGTCCTCTTTCCTATTGCTGTTCAGTTTTGTGCCTAACTTGTTGTCCATGTGTTCTGTCTGTCCCAAATATCCATATTTTTGGAAAATCTCTATAGGGTATCTATCCAAATGCTTGTTAAAATCTGTGAAATAGACCTTCACGTACATGGTCTTTTCCACACTCTTTCAACTGAGGAGCTTTCTCCTACTTTACTGAGAAAATTTAGGCTTTTTGATGGGAGCTCCCTTTTTTTTTTTTAATCTTTACTTCATCTCAAAACCCCATGGCATTGTCCTCCATTCTTTAACTCTTTGTGTATCCACAAGTAAACTAATGATCTCTTCCTTCTCCATTCCCCAAGTGTGCCCTTCTTCCAAAATTCTCCATTTGTGTAAAAGGCAGCAGGATTCTAATCTCTCAGGTTTATAATATCAGTATCATCCTCAGCTCTCTTCATTCAACACTTTTTGATTTGTTTTTTTTTCCTTCTAAAATGAGAGGCAGCATTGTGTTCAAACAACAAAAGCAATAAAACATTAAAGCCAGATTGCATTTTTGCAACTATCTTTGTAAAATCAACTACTCAATGAAGGTGATGACATATGCTTTAATTATGATACCAAATACCAAAAAGTCAGATAACTGAGGAACAAGGAACAGTGGAAAGAGCGCTAGGTTGGGAGTCAGGAAGTCCAAGCTTGCTCTGTAACCTTGGGCAAGTCATTTTAATTTTTCTGATCCTATTTCTTCCTCTATAAATGGGATTAATAATAACACTTAGTTTACAGCATTATTGTGAGGATCAAATGAGATGATAGATGATGAATGTGTCCTCAGAGGGCAGCCTCTGCTCTCAGGTTCTAAGGGATAATCCTGTGGGTGTAGTTCATGAGCCCCATTAACTATCAGCTGGTAAACTTAATTAGCTTTTAGCAAAGATATTTACTAAGATTGTATATTAAGAACAGTTGATACAAAACATTCCCCCCACAGCTGTTGGTTGTATTCATGTGTACACACAGTGTCCATAAGACAAGTGTGTTCAGACTTAAAAGTACAACATTAGAGGCAGTGGTAACTCAGTATTCCTATTACTTGCATATTGTTATAGTTGTTACTGTTTTGTCATTTTCCCTTACCTTCTTTGCAAACTTTAAAATGCCATGTAGATGCCAACTGTTATTATTACTTTGAGGACTAACTCAAAGGAGGAGACATGTATCATTTACATTTTATTTACGAAGGAACTACAACACAGAAGTTGTAGATTTGCTCAGTGTTTCTTAGGGAATCAATAGAACTGCATTTAGAATTTCCCCTGGACCTGGTTTTCTAATTAGGTCAGTAGAGTGGTCCTAGCACTGCTAAAAAAAAAAAAAACCAGTTGCATTCCCTAGATCTGTTTCTCAAGCAAATGATTGCCACAAAGAATATAAGACTGGCTAGTCAGGCCTAGGTTTTAATTCTGTTTCTCCTCTTAATTATCTGTATGAATGACCTTCAGAAAGTCATTTAACCTCAATAGGCCTTGGTTTCCTTAGTTTTGACATGAGTAGCTTGGCTAGACATTGGCTGGATAATTTGTAAGATTTGTCTAACTGTGAAATTCTGTTCAATATGCCGTAAGAATCATTTGATGATAAGAGAAAATGTCTTGAGATCTTTGGATAAGATATGTTTTAAAAGGCAAATTAGAGATACTAACATGTTTAGTGTTTTCCAGTTACATTTTATAGTTATGAAAATGAAAATAATATTTTAATATTAAATACTATGTGATCTCAATTGATTGAATGGGAGTATTACAAAAAAGCTGCTGTATATTCTGTCTTTTTCTTTTATAGGTCCTGTAAACATATATTGTGCTATTACTATAGTTAACAAGTACAATTTTCCCTTACATTTAATTATTTAATAAATGGATAACTACTAAATTCTAAAACCATTTAGTCTGAAAGCTCTCACTCATTCTTAAATTTAAATATATATATATATCTTTTTATCATAATAGGGAAAATTCTTTTATAACTGCAGGGTGGTTATTAGACAAAGTGAACTAGATATTAGTCCACTATAATATACAGATTGTATTTTAGCCTTTTTTGGCCAGAGTAGGGGTGGTTTTCTGTACTTCAGCATGGTGAATTTGTCTAATAATAACATTTGTGGAAATATCTTGAAAATATCAACTAATATCCTTATCTTTCTAGGCTTAAACCATATAGTTTATGTCTTATTAGTCTGTCTTCAGTATCAGGGATATGTTTTTTGTTTTTGTTTTTAATGTGTGTAATAATACATTAAACTGTGTAATAACACAGTTATTTAAGAATTATTAGAGTATGGAGTTCTGTAAATCTTGATTGTAATCTGAGTTTACTCCCTCCTCCATTACAGACAGTATTTTTGTGTTCTACTTAGGTATATATTTATGCTATAGGGGTACATTTTAGAGTCCCAGAGATGATGATGATGATGATGATGATGATGATGATGATGATGATGACAATGGTGATGATAACAATACTAGTATATTTGGAAAATAAAGACATTTTGCTGTGGTGGACAGAAGCTAGAAGTCAAAGCACTTAAATTTCATTTCTGCTTCCACCACTAACTTGACCGTGTGATCTTTGCAAAGTTGTTTTACTATTGTATCTCCATGTCCAATGTCCTTCACATTCCTATATCTTCTTATTAATTTTCATTGCTTCCACCTTAGGTAAGATCTTTTTCATTTCATATCTGCTCTCTTTTTTAAAAAAAATTTATATTAATTTCATTAAATATTTCCCAATTATATGTAAAAAAATTTAATGCTCAATTTTTAAAATTTTGAATTCCAAATTCTTTTTCTCCTTCATTCCCCTCCCCCACCCATTGAGAAGGCAAGCAGTAGGACATCAGTTATACATGTTAAGTCATGTAAAACATTTCTATATTAGCCATGTTTCAAAAGAACACACACGCACACACACACGGTGAAGAATGTTTAAAAAGTATGCCTCAGTATGCCCTCAAAGTTCGTCAGTCCTCTCTCTGGAGGTCACATTTGAACTCTTGTGTCTAACTCTCTTCCCCAGCCTCTGGTTTTCCCCTACCTTCTGCCCTACCATGGGCATCCTGTATATTGCTGTTGAATTCAGCTTCTGAAAATGTCAGTTTCCTCTTATTACTACCCTCAGCATGTCCTTCAGTGTCTCCCCATTCCCTATGTTGAGGCAGTGCTGCCCAGTTGATTACTTAATGGATACGTAATCAGGAAGCCCTGTAATCAAATCCTGTGCCTGGCACTTACTAGCTGTGTGACCCTGGGCAAATCACTTAATGTTGCTTACCTTCAATAGCCAGATCATTAAAATGAGGGTAGAAGTACCTGCACTACCTATGTCCCAGGATTGTTAAGAGGCTTAGTCAAGTTGATATATGTGTAAGTATATTTTGTAAACCCAAAACATTATATAAAGTCTGCTCTTATTTATCAGGAGGAGGTAATGTAGCATAGGATAAATCCAAACTCTTTAGCCTGGTGTGCACAATCTAACCCTAAACCACTTTTCTAGCTTTGTTTCATACTTTGCTGTACAAACCTTCCATCCATGATTTCCTTCTGATTTATTCTCTTCCCTGACTACTCTGGTGCAGTTACTTCTCCTTCCTCTGAACTCTCCCAAGCCTCTTGTCCGTAGCATCATTTCACACTTATCATTTATTTCCACTTATTGTTAGTTGTTTTTTAGATGTAGAGATTGTGTCCTCCCATATAGATTGTAAATTCCTTACAGACAGGGCCTATATTCTTATGCAGGGTGGAAGAGTTCTTTGTAAAGTTTTAATTTTTTTATACTATTTTAAAAGTTACAGGATTTGCTTTGTTCTCTGTAAGAGAGGAACAGTAATTGCCAGAACTATATTAACTTAACTAAATCAAGATATTAAGTAGAATTGTCTTGCATTTATTAATCAAAGTAATTCAATTATGAACAAAATAAGAATGTTGCCTTTGATAGTATGAATGAAATTTTAATGTGCATTTGGTGATTTGGACTTTTTCTTTCAGTTAACCCAGTATCCACACCAGTAGCGGTTCTCACACCAGCTATTTCTCCAGGCTTAATAGCTGACCTGGAGGGTTTAAACTTGTCAGCTTCTTCACCTGTCATCAATGTAAGTAATTTTCAAAATAATTTCAAAACGATTGTTAAGCCTCCACATTATGTTGTTGCTTTCTGTATTAAAAGGCAGATAATCAAGATTGACCCATAGTCTTTTTAAAAGGTCCGCACCCCTTTTAATTTAGTACAAATTCTTGGATATATTCTGTTCAAACCTTGTCCACATTTAATTTAAATGAGATAATAGATGTAGAGTGTTTTGCTGATATTAAAACTCTTTTTATTAACTATTGCTTTCCCATTACTCTTCATTAGTATTATGTAGCTGGGCTGTATTTCTTTTGTCTAAGAGTGGCAACAAGGTGATGAGTTTTTTGAAACTCAGAAATTCCTTTTTTTAATTATTATTAAATTTTTCAATTATCAAGCATTTTTACCTCCTTTTTTCTTCCCCTTTCCAAAAAAAAAAAAAAGGAAAACAAAGCTTTTGTAACAAATTAACATAGCTAAGCAAAACAAATTTCCCGAATTGGCAATGTCCAAAAATGTCTGTCTCATTCTGTATATTAGTCTATTACCAGTTTGTTGGGTAGTAGGTAACATTCTTTATCATTGGTCCTCTGAAACTGTGCTTGATCATTGCATTGATTAGAGTTCTTAAGTCTTTCCAAATTATTTACTTATACAATGTTGGTATTATAGTATATATATTTTTTCTGATTCTGTTTGTTTTCCTCTGCATCAATCCACATAATTCTTCCCAAATTTCCCTGAAACTGTCCCCTTTGTTGTTTCAGTTTCACTTTTTCCATTTCTTATACCACAGTATTACATACTGTCCATCACATTCACATACCCATAATTTATTGATCAGTTCTTTGTCTCTACAATAAGAGCTACCATAAATTATTCTGTACATATGGGAATTTTTCCTCTTTGATCTTCTTGGAATTTATAGGCCTAGTAATAGTATCACTGGGTTAATAGATATGTATAGCTTAGTAAGTTTTTGACCACAGTTCTAAGGTGGCTTTCCAGAATGACTATTAATTCACAGCTTCATTAGCAGTGCTTCCTTGTGCCTGTTTTCCCATAGCTTCTTCAGCATTTATCCTTTTCCTTTATCCTCAGTTTGCTAGTCTCGTGGATTTGAAGTAGTACCTCAGAGTTGTTCAATTTTCATTTCTCTAATTATTAGTGATTTGCAGAATTTTTTCTGTGAAGTTATAGATAACTTGGATTTCTTTCCTTGATAACTGTTTGTTCATAACCTTTGACCAATTATTCATTAGGGAGTGGCTCTTATTCCATTAAAATTACTTTATATATCTTGGAAATGAGACTTTTATCATAGAAACTTGGAAATATTTTTTTACCCCAGTTAACTGCTTTCTTTCTAATGTTAGCTATAATGGATTTGTTTGTGCAAAAACTTTTAATTTCCCCTAGGAAAAGCCCTAGTTATAGATAAGTACATTTCACAGATTTGAAATGTAAAAAGAGAGGCCTCAAGTGTGTGCATAGATGAGTGAATGACTCTTTTCTCCATGAGGATTGAGTGTTGAAGGGAAAAGAAAACGTATAGCTGATTAAATTGGGAGGAAAATATGAATTTACTAAATACTCATATTCCTTGGATGTTCAGTATATTCAAGATAATCAGACTAAAGAAATCACTTAGCTTTCCTCTTCTTTTCCAATGAAATGTAACATTAGCCTGTTGCTAATGTTTTGAAGATGTTTTGAAGAATAATTAATATTTAAAAGGCACTTTAAAAGTATAAATTACTGAGTAAATATTAAATGGATGCTTGTATGTATAGAATGTCAAATAGAAAAGCAAATGAAGGATGTGATAAAGAAGATAGAGGCAAAAATACAAGAAAAGATATAAAAAGGATGAGAGGACAAATTAGCACGCACTAAGGAAAATTTTTAGGAAGAGGATTAGATATGTTTGTTGTTACTGTTGGCTTTTTCTATTGTAGGAAAAACATATTTTTTGTAGAAGAAAAATGAGTCATGATTCAGAATTTATATAAAATTACTGATGAAAGAAGCCCTTTCTGTTTCTGTGGGAAGTATAGTATTTTATTTTTTCCCAATTATATGAAAAGACAATTTAAAAAAAATTTTGATTACCAAATTTTCTCTTTCTCTTCTTTGCTTACCCCCCAAAATGGTAAGCAATTTGATATAGGTTATATTTGTGCAATCATGTAAAGCATATTTCCATATTAGTTATGTTGTGAAAGAAGAAACAGACCAAAAGAAAATAAAACATGAAAAAAATAAATTGGAAAAATAGTGTGCTTTGATCTGGATTCAGACTCCATCAGTTATTTCTCTGGATATGGATAGCATTTTTCATCATGAGACCTTTGGAATTATCTTAGATCATTGTATTGCTGAGAATAGCTAAGTCATTCACAGTTGACTGTCACACATATTACTGTTCCCATGTACAATGTTCTGTTGGTGCTGCTCACTTCACTTTACATCAGTTTATGTAAATCTTTCCAACTTTTTCTGAAATTATCCTGTTTATCATTTCTTATAGCACAATAGTATTCCTTACAATCATATACTACAACTTGCTCAGTCATTCCCCAGTTGATAGGCATCCCCTCAATTTCTAATTCTTTGCCATCACAAAAAGAGCTGCTATAAATATTTTTGTACAGATAGGTCTTTCTCGCACTCCCCCAAACATCCTCCTTTTTTTGAATACAGACCTAGTAGTGATCTTGCTGGATTGAAGAGTATGCATAATTTGATTGCTCTTTGGACATAGTTCCACTTTGCTCTCCAGAATGGTTGGATCAGTTTACAACTCCACTAGCAGTGCATTAGTGCCTGTTTTTCCCACATTCTCTCCCAACATTTATCATTTTCATTTTCTGTCATATTAGCCAATCTGATAGGAGTGAAGGTAATACCTCAGAGTTTTAATTTTTATTTCTCTAATCAGTAGTGATATAGAAATTTTTTTCACAATTATAGACAGCTTTGATTTCTTTATCTGAAAACTGCCTGTTCATATCCTTTTACAGTTTTACAGTTTATTAATTGGGAAATGACTTATATTCTTATAAATTTGATTCAGTTCTCTATATATTTGAGAATTGAGGCCTTTATCAGAGACACTTGCTATAGAAATTGTTTCCCAGATTTCTGTTTTCCTTCTAATTTTGGTTTTATTTATTTGCATTGGTTTTATCTATTTATTTATTTATTTATTTATTTAAAATTTATTTATTTAAAATTTTAAAAATTTAATATAATCAGAAATATCTCTTTAGTATCTCATAATACTCTGTTTCTTGTTTGAGCATAAATTCTTCCCTTCTGCATAGATCTGACAGGCATTCTATTCCTGGCTCTCCTAATTTTCTTTTTCTTTTTTTTTTAATTTTGATTTATCAACAATCACTTTCATAAGCTTTTGAGTTTTAAATTTTTCTCCACTTCCCTCCCCTCTTCCCTCTCCAAGATGGCATGCAATCTGATATAGGCTATACATATACATTCCTATTAAGCATATTTTCACATTTGTAATGTTGTAAGGAAGAATTAGAACCAAAAGGAGGAACCACCAGAAAGAGAAAACAAAACAGAAGAAAAAAAATAGGAAATAGTATGCCTTGATCTGCATTCAAATTACATAGTTCTTTCTTTGGATGTGGATAGCATTTTCCATCATGAGACCTTTGGAGATGTCTTAGATCCTTGCATTGCTGAGAAGGGCTAAGTCTGTCAACATTAATCATTGCACAGTGCAGCTATTACTGTGTACAATGTTCTCTTGGTTCTGCTCAGTTCACTCAGCATCAGTCCATAGAAGACTTTCCAGGTTTTTCTGAAGTCTGCCTGCTCATCATTTCTTATAGCACAATAGTATTCTATTACATTCATATACCACAACTTGTTCAGCCATTCCTCAATTGATGGGTATCCCCTCCATTTCCAGTTCTTGGCCACTACAAAAAGAGCTGCTATAAATATTTTTGTACATGTGGGGCCTTTTCCCATTTTTATGGTGTCTTTGGGATATAGCCTTAGAAGTGCTATTTCTGGGTCAAAGGATATGCACATTTTTTTTTTAGGCAATTGGGGTTAAGTGACTTGCCCAGGGTCACACCGCTAGTAAATGTCAAGTGTTTGGTCTGAGGCCGGATTTGTACTAGGTCCTCCTGACTTCAGGGGGTATGCACATTTTTATAGCCTTTTCAGTGTAGTTCCAAATTTCTGTCCAGAATGGTTGGATCATTTCCCAACTCCACCAACAATGCATTAGTGTTCTGTTAGTCAATCTGATAGGTGTGATGTGGTACCTCAGAGTTGTTTTGATTTGCATTTCCCTAATCAATAGTGATGTAGAGCATTTTTTCATATGACTATAGATGGCTTTGATTTCTTCATCTGAAAAATGCCTACTCATATCTTTTGACCATATATCAGTTGGGGAATGACTTGTATTCTTATAAATATGACTTAATTCTCTATATATTTTAAAATTATTCCATTTTATAATGTTCTCTATCTCTTGTTTGGTCATAAATTCTTCTATTCTCCATAAATCTGACAGGTAAACTATTCCTTGCTCTCCCAATTTGCTTATAGTATCAGCCTTTATAGCTAAATCATGAACCCATTTTGACTTTATTTTGGTATATGGTATGAGATTTTAGTCTGTGCCTAGTTTCTGCCATACTCTTTTCCAATTTTCCCAGCAGTTTTTGTCAAATAGTGAGTTTTTATCCCAGAAGCTGGGGTCTTTGGGTTTATCAAATAGTAGATAACTATAGTCATTGACTTCTGTGTCTTGCATACCTAACTTATTCCACTGATCCACCACTCTGTTTCTTAGCCAGTATCAAGCAGTTTTAATAATTGCTGCATTGTGATATAATTTAACATCTGGAACAGCTAGGCCACCTTCCTCTTCATTTCTTTTCATTAGTTTCCTTGGTATTCTGGATATTTTGTTATTCCAATGAATCTTGTTATTATTTTTTCTAGCTCTATAAAATAATTTTTTGGTAGTTTGAT